CTGTATTTGATGGAGCGCAGAAAGGAGAGGGGCATTGGGGTTCCACTACCAAGGGACTGGGACATCAGCCTGGGAGAGGGCTGGAAGTCCTGGTCTAGCCTGTTCTCACTTTCTCCACTTCCCAACACTTCGTTGGCAGCAGCGCAGTCATTGCCTTCCTGAGCCTCTTTTTCTCCACCTGTGAAATGGGCCAGTGGCATTTCCCTCCACCAGGAAAGTGGGAGGGAGCCACAGAAGAGGAGGCTTCGCAAGATTAGGGAAGTCGGCCTATTGAAGGTCTGGCACTGAGGTGAAGGGGCATGAACAAAGAGGTGCCTACCTCCCCCAGCCAGGTCAGTAACCACCCCCGCCCCCCGCCCCAAGATTAAATGGGCAGTAAAGAGTAGAGTTAATGAAATCCACATTGTGTGCCTCTTCCCGCTTGAGCCATTCCAGTCTCCAGGGCAATAGAAATAGCGTATGCAATAGCGAGCAATAAAAGGCATAATGAATTTTAAAAGCAGGGTGGGAGGTGGGGCGGGGAGAGAGTGAGGACTTGGTGGTGCTGGGCCTGGAGGAGGATGCCTGGGGCGGGAGAGCGGAGGCCTGCAGCTCCAGCCAGAAGTGGGCCCAGAGACAGACAGGCAGAATTGGGGGGCGGGGAACACTGAGACACAGAGACAGAGGTGTAGGGATAGAGGGCAGAGGGGACACTCAGCAGGCCCCTAACAGCTCTGTAGCTGCTCTCCTTTCTCCTCCACTTCTCCTTAATGAAAGCCCCCCAGCCTATTGGTGACAAACCCACAATCAGAATCCGCAGGCTTAGAGCCAGGTGCCAGTTGGTGATTCCTGTATTAGCTTTTTCTTCTCCCCCCCACCCCCCAGGGCAAAAAAAAAAGTGTTTTAAAGGGAAGGAATAAAAAAAAAAGAAAGAAAGAAAGAAAGAAAAGACCAGCCCCTGAAAGCCTCATTTAAAAGGCTCCTGGGAAACTGAATCATTTCCATGAAACAAAACTGCGATTGTTTGGAAGAGGTAAATGCTGGGGGAGGGAGCCCCATGTCGCTCCCTGTCCCTCTCCAGCCTAGAATCAGAGCTCAGAGCTGTGTGGGAGGAAGCTCCAGGGCTCATGGTGAGGGAGCCCCCAGGATGGCTCCCAGAGATACAAGGAAGGAATTTTTAAATTCGTGTACCCAGAAATTTCATCCCTGTGAATTTCAAGACCAAAGTTTCCCTCTTAAGCAGCTCTGCCTGTGGGAGGTTGTCCTTAAGCCTTTGGGATCTCTGGAAGAGGGGTGTGAGGTATCAGGGGGTCATGGCCCCTGAGGGAGGGCCTGCAGCTCTGGGCCCAAAGCTGGCCTCCCCTGCCCTCCCCAATCCCTCTAGGAGGCATCATTTGCTCTTAAAAGAGCTCAGCAGGGTCACCCTGATGGCTCTTCAGCAGGCTTTGGCCTGCTGCTTTCTGCTCTCCGCACCCTCAGGGACCCACTCTGTCCAACACTGGACAGGCCACCCTCATTCGGATCTGATAAATTCCCACTTATGTTGGGGAAAGAGGGGTTACGGGTGCTGGGGCGGTGTAGCCATATGGTCTCAAACCTGCCAAGAGGCAGCGTCAGGGGTGGGAGAAGGCTGGTGGAGCTCCACCTGGAAAGGAAGTGCCATGCGCCTTGGGGAAGGGCCACTGCCTGTGGCTGGCCAGGAACCTGGAGCTGGTCATCCTCCCATGGGTACACACCTTCTGCAGCCCCTGCCTGCAGGCTCCCAGTGCCCCCATTCATGGGCCTCAGAGTGACCTCTATCCTGGAGTCTGTGACTTTATGTGCTGCAAATATTCATAGGGGACAGTCCTTTCCATCCCCCTCCTCCCAAAAGGGGGAAACTTGAGGACTAGAGAAGGGAAGGTGTCCATTGTCTATAATAATACAATACTAGCTCAGGGGAATTGATTGTTCCAGTCCCCAAGTCTCCAGGACTCAGGGAGTGCTATGACCAGCATTGGCCATTTAGGGCCTTGTAACCTGTGGCCCTGGCTGGGAAGCAAAATGATACAGATTCAAAGGCTGTTATTAAAGTTCACACTGAGCCCTGCCTCCTGCTCCCTACTCTTTTCTTAATCATCTTGATCATTGAATTCCTAATCCCTGTGCCCTCCACCCCCCTGCCCCACTGCCCCACTGCCCCTCAAACATGACTATCACCAGTTCTGGCTAAAAAAATAAAAAGACACATACTACACAAATTGGAGAACCACTTGTGAGCTTACGATAAAGTTCTAAATTGAATAGATTCAGTTGTTGAAATGCCTGATGCAAACAGGACTGAGAATAGCTTGGAACAGACAAAGTCAGTGCTTGAAAGGCTTCCTGAAGGAGGTGGACTTGAGCCTAGGTATTTGCATCTTGAGTCCAGAAATACAATTCTGGCCTTGAACTGAATGTTGCCCAGGTTGAGCTACACGCCACGAATGAAATTCTGTCCTCTCTGTTCTTCCTGCTCTCTGCCTTTTCTCCCTGAAACTCCACCCCACTCCCCTTCTAGCTTCCTTTCTCCTCCTCTTCAGTTGAGAACCAGAGAGAGTCGGGTTAAGTCCCAGGCTTCACTTTCTCTATCTGCAAAGTGGGGAGGGAGGATGGTTTGCAGGGTCCCTTTAGTGCTAGGCCACATCCACTTCCCAAGGGAACTGGCCACAGGTCCAAAGGACGGCCTGCGGCTCCATTGCTCACTAAGAACCTGGGCTTGTTGCTGTCCTTCCAGGTGTGTCTTTGAGCCTCCCAGTGACAGCACTGGAAGGGTGCCTGCCTTCCTCAGGCTGAACTACTGGACGAGTTCACCTGACCCGAAAGAAACAGCCCTCTGTTCTCTGAAGGACCCTTCTCCAATATCTGTTCCCCATGGACTTTCTGGCTCTGCTGTGAGGGTTGTGATTGCTGACCCCCCAGGAGGGAAGCCATTTTTCTCTCCTTTGAAAGCCATTTTCTTATCTTGGTGGAAGCAGACATCTGACACTTTAAGAGGGAGCATGGCGGGGAGATGATGGCTTTAAATAACAGAAATTAGAGCTGCTGAGGACAACTCAGCCATCTCTACCCCTCCCTCACATACATTTAGAGCTGCAGCCTGCAGAGCACATCCACATGGCCATGGCTCAGGGTGGCCAGGGCATGCTGGGACATGGAGAGCAGGGCACAGCTTCTCTCCGAGCTCTGAGCCTCCTGTGTGCCTGGTCCTGTGATAAACTGTAGGACAGAGGGGCCAGGGCCCAGGCTCTGAAGTTAGGGAGCTTGCAGTGTTGAAGGAACAGAATGTCATCTAGGAATCCAAGTGACATCCATCTCATTTTACAAGCTCAGCACCCAGCACAGAGCTGGGCATACAGGAGGTGGACAAAAGTATGTGTTGATTGATTAATGAATAAATGAACAAAGGCTGAAATGGGCTGTGTTAATAGGCTGTGAGATCTGGACAAGAAAAGCAGGTCCCTGGGTCTGTGGTCATCCTTACAGTTCTCCTGGCACATGCTGTCTGATCACTCTGCCTGAAGCATAGCTCAGGTCCTGTCTTTCTCCTGCACAAACTCCTCTGGTGGTTCACCGTTGCCACCTTTGAAATATCCATCGATCTCTCTTTATCTCTCACTTGAAATATCCATCTCTTCTGCCACCATCCCCTCTATTCCCTTTACTTTCTCCCATCCATCCGCCCTCTCCCACCTGACTCATCCCACCACCTGCGCTGATCTCTCTTTATCTCTCACTTGAAATATCCATCTCTTCTGCTACCATCCCCTCTGTTCCCTTTACTTTCTCCCATCCATCCGCCCTCTCCCACCTGACTCATCCCACCACCTGCGCTCCGCTTCAGCCAGACCAATACACTGCTGGGGAGTGAGGCACCGCTGCAGAGCCAGGCACCGCAGCAGAGCCAGGCACCTTTTGGTTGTACACTTTTGGTTCCAACCTCATCTTATCCTCCTGCTGCCAACCAAACCTTTTTCCTTCTCCTTAGCCAGCTTATTTATTGTGGTCCCTCCCCCTGGGATATTTTCCCCCAAGCCCAGATTGCCATCCCTAAATCTTACCCACCTGGCATGGGGTCTGACAGAGTCAGCATTTCACAAATGTTTGACGGATGAATGAATGGATGAGTAGATGAAGGAATGCATGAAAGATTCATCTCAAATGATGTCTCTTCCTAGAAGCCTTTCCTAGGCACCAAAACCTGTCATGCACACTCCCTCTCCAGCTCTCTTTCCAGCAAATGCCTTACAGGACCACGTATGATGCCCATGTTTTCTCCAACTGTCTTCAAGCCAGATGACACTCTGAACTTAGGGACTGACCTAGCTTTGGAGTCCATGCACTATTGTGCACAAAAGTCCCCAGGAAATGTTGTGTTGACATTAAATGGAATCAAGCGTCATGGGGCCTCAGTTTCTCCACCTGTGAAATGGGCTACTACCTTCTTTACCTGCTTCTACCTGTGCTGGCTATGAAGCCTTCTAGACATGCTGCCTGGTCGCAGAACATGGTCATTTTGGGGAGCCCTCCTACAGCTCAGATAAGGACAAGACCCCTTACCCAGGCCTGAGACTGACAGGGTCCTGGTTCTGAGCTGAGTCCTTCCTGCTCATGGTGGGAGCCAGATGGGCTTGAGGGTGGGCACACAGAGGAGATTTCTTTCTTGTGGTCACTCGGGGTCCCCTCCCAAAATCTGATGAGAATGTGTAAAATTGAGGTTGGGGACTGAAGGGTCTCAAGGGACACTCACCCACCGGGCAAAAGAAGCCCCATCCAGCTGTGTCCCTGCATGGTGTGACCTTGGCTACATTTTCTGTCTGCCCTTCCAACCTGAGACTTCCTGCATCCGTCCTCAGGCTGCATGGCCCTAGAACTGAGTGAGGCAGCCTTGGAAAACTCTGCTGCTCTGCTCAGTGCAGGATGGGGGCAGTCAGGCTTATCAGAGAGGCTGGGCCTTGTGCCCAGTGAGTCCACAACCTGAGCTGGACCCAGGAAGTACCCACCTGGCTGGCCCCTCGAGGGCAGTTTGAGGTGGGAGGCTGAGGGGACCGGTGCACATGGAAGGCCACGCTGTAGGCCAGACCCCCACAGTGGCGGGCTGTGGGGTCCGTGCTGGCCCGGAGCAGAGCCAGGTTGCCACAGTAGCGGTACAGGTCTTCATGCTCCCATGCTGTGAGGAGGTTCATGCGCGGTTGGTCCGGCCGTGGGTAGATGGGGAAGATGGCCTCGCCCACCCGCTGGGCTGCCTGTCCAGAGGCTCCGTCCAGCCTTAGTGCCTCCACCCGCAGCCATGCATCGTGCTGCCCGTCATTCTTGCAGAACCCTGGGAGGGGGACCGTGGGGTGCAAAGATGAGCTCTGCAGTCTTCCCTGCCTCCACCAGGAGATTAGGAGGACAGGCAGGGCCCTGGGAAAACCTGGGCTGCCCAGTCTTAGAGGGTCATCTGGTGGGTGGTCCCTTCTGAGGCTACCACCCATGGCTCCCTATCTTTACCAATGCCCAATCCAAGCCCCCAGGGGTGAGGAGGGGAGGCTCTGAGCCTATGGATGGTCCTGGGTTTTGCCACCACCCTGGACTGGGGAAGGGTTCAATTTGCCCCTGATTTCTGGCCACCTGAAGCCTGGGACTTGGTTTCCCCATTCCCTTT